TGGTGAAAGTTGCACTTAGTCATTTTGCAAGTTTTTTTTGTCTATATACAGGAGTTATGTGAAGTGGTGCCCATAATATTTATTAGGATCTGATACCACATATGCTACTTTAATGACATAAGCAATCTCACCTTTTTCCAATTTGAATATACATAGCATCCGTATTTGCAGAACGAGCCAACTACACTTTTCAAACTCTTATATTTGCTTTTAGAAAAAATAATGGAATCTGAACGGTATATGAGATTATGCAATCTGCTATACAAACATCACAAAATGAGTTTCAAAAACACACCAGCACATGAAAAGGATCTTTTAAAAACACCTTTATTCTGCTTTACAAAATCTGGTGCTTTACAAAGGCTCAGGTTGGTAAACAATTGCCTACTACGTGATCAAGGCACGAAAAGCCTGCTAGTGCGTAGTAACCGTGGAGGTTTTCGGTTCTTCCTTTGAATTGACTTTAGTATTTTAGGCAGTTTCAGTTGGAAAGGCCGATGATTTCCTTGTACCGGCTGGTGAGGGTCTGAGACTTCTGGCTGAGGGTGCTGAGGACAGAGAACAGGCCCGTGAGGTGGTAGTGGAACAGAGTCTCGGGGTCCGTGTCTGGGAGGTGCTCCGGGGGACTGCCCAGGCTGGGCTGGCTCTTCCCCGCGTGCTCGTCGAGAGGCATCAAGCCACTCTCTACCGTGTTCTTGACGGACTTCAGCATGAGGTAATGCTCGTACAGGTCTTTGCAGGCCGCATCAACAGGCTGGTCGTCGTCGGGCTCCTCGGCTGGGACGTCCCGCAGGAGGCTGGGCAGCATGACGGTGTGCTCCATGTTACGGACGGCAGAGCTGTAGCGATTCAGCGCGGCGAGCAGGCAGCTTTTGGTGAGCTTGGAGTCGGCAGACTGCATGGTTTCCCCAGTTATTCTGGTGGCTGTCGATTCTGGAAGGCTCACAGCAGTGCGAGACGGAAGGGGAGAAACTCTGGGCTTTATAGGACTCACTGACCTGGGTCAAGAGCCAGCCTCAGGTTGTGCAATGAGTATCCTGGCTTAAGAAAAGCAAATGCCATGATGATGCAAGATTTAATCTGTTTGATTTTCCCAATCCTTGATTGTGGTGGTACTGTCTGCTGTCTTGGAAACAAGACACGCGACTGTCATCCGGCAAATCAGTAATGATTGACATCACATGTAGACAGTGATCAGCTGATGCATTCTTGCAACATAACCACATTTCTGCATTGGCACGTTTCAGGAATCGCAGGTTGAAAGCACACATCGGGGCAATTCCCTAGATACTGGTTTTTCGGTTTTTCACAGTGTAACTTTGTTACGTATCGCAAAGCTGAATTTCAAATCTCTTTCCTTTGTATTAATGATCTGTTCATTTCTGGTCATCATTTTGACTGTTTTCTGTTCATGCCACAGTTCAGTGTTTTGTCTTATTTTAAATCTAGCAGAAAAGCGTGATCTTAAGCTTGTATTACGTTTCTAAGATCTAGTAAATTATACTGTTTGTGATAACATAATCAGGGATTTGGTCTTTTGTACTACATTTTAAAAGTGTATTCTAATTATTTTCATGCATTTTTTTTAAGAGAGCACAGATATCGCAACATTAGCACATTTTCCGGTGAGTTAATATTACTGTAAAAGCAGCCTATTGCAGAGTCCATACAGGAGGATCTTGGTTTGAACTGGATGAGGTTAGTACAGTTCATCCAGCTGTAGAACAGGTAAACCTTCTTCCCATCCAGCTACTGACCAGCGCACTTTCAGTATGAAATGAATGTGCTGCCATCGTGCTTGTCTCCAGCGTCACCAATTGTATGTGAGCACACCCCTCACTCCTGAAAGACTTCCCAATGTGACACGGTGAAAGAGCCTCATAGAAAAAAATTATATGGCCCATATGTGCAATCTAGGTTTTTAGCCGTGTAAATCTACTGTTTAATTTATTTACTTTTTATTCTTATTTATTTCCTATTCCCAATCTTAAAATAGAATTTCCTATTTTCCTATCACATGGGTTTTGTATATGATTATAAGCAGCCGATGTCTGACATTTGTCAATTTAATGAAACTGGTAACCATCCTCATGGTTTTTAAATGAGCTAGACTGTTAAGATTGATAGTTTTGTTCATAACAGTCATGTGAATAATGCAATAACAAATATGAAAATAAGGTCTTGATGTCTGCATATGTATTTTATGTGAAGCACAACTAAGTACATAACTTTATGTCCTAAAAAATAAATTGTAGATGTTCACTTTCTGAACAAAAAGATTGTTTCTATAATAAGAATACTGTATCTTGAAGTTTGTACATTACCATGAAGTACAGTACCTATGGAAACATGCCTATGTCTATACATAATTAATACTAATTATTACTCACAACTGTAATACAGTATATATAGTTATGCAGGTTTCTCTTGTACAAGTTTCTCTTTATCAATATCTTAATTAATTATCTCTAGAGATAGCCTCACTAAAATAAGTAATATTGGACAACTTTTATGTCTAACACTAACTAAGACTTGTTGCAGATAAAATGAAAACATTGAAATCTATGCTTGGATTCAGACAACATCCAAATTAGTTATTTTTCAGTATTTGTAGTATTCTTGGTTCAAAGATATCACTAAACTGTATTCATAGTTAAAATATACAGTATGTTTCAACTGTAGCTTACTGAGCTGAACAAAGTTTTTTTTGTGTCCCATGGCATCACTCCAAAAAGGGTTTTGTAATTTCAGGCACTGAAAGGGCACTGTATTGCATATTTCAATTTTAGACCAGACTGTTTACATTGCTGGAGTGTCTCATTTTGCTGATAAGAGTTTTTTTGGGGTGATTTTTTTTAATTAACACATTCCATTTTTTTTCTGGTAGTTTTTATGCTTTATCCTTACAAGATAATTGATAGCTTACAAAGTCCAGCCTAATTTAGTTTTTTTGGAGCCATATTTTACCTTTTACCTCAGAAGGAGAAACTTAGGCAGAAGCATTCCACTCCTAGCACAGTGGAAAAAAAAGAATTTAAGTAGGAAGGGAGAGACTTAATACATTTAGACCAACTAGACATAATAGCTTATTGCATGAAATGTATATTGCTTTAATAAGGACAACATCAAAAGAAAAGAAAATTAAAATCAGATCTTTACAAATCCACTAGATGGGGCTAGTGATCTGCTGTGAGAGCTACAGTATTGAAACTATGCTGTTGATCTCTTCACATTTTAAAAAAACAGATGAATTAGATGTATATCTAATATATCTAATTTCCTTTATTAAATGCAAGACACATTAAGAAATACTTGTGATGATTCAACTTAACATTTGCCTTACACTTCAAAGCTTTAACTGTAAGCTGTTTTTTTTTTTACATCCATACCAATCCTGACACTGATGTGGCCATCTCTATTCTATCTAATTGCATCTCTAACATAAAAATATGGATGACTCAAGATTTCCTTCATCTTAACTGTGACAAGACTGAAGTCATGCTTATTGGCACCCCCCATCAACTTCGTAAAGCCAGTCCTGTAACCCTATCTGTAGATGGTTCTGTACTTGAGCTCCAGTCTAAATTGAAAAACCTTGGGGTGATATGACCCACATATGTAGTATACTGTCAAAACATCTTTTTTTCACCTCAAAAATATTGCTAGACTATGCCCTATATGATCACTAACTGTGGCTGAAAAGCTGATCAAAACGTTTGTGTTCTCTTGAATTGACTACTGTAATGCTCTACTCGCTGGTGTATCTAAATCTACTTTGAACAAACTGCAGTATGTCCAAAATTCAGCAGCCAGAGTCCTGACTAGGTCTAATGCAAGTAATCACATTACTCCTATCCTGGAGTCCTTGCACTGGCTTCCTGTCAAATTCCGTGTGGACTTTAAAATCCTTATGTTCATCTATAAGGCTCTGTATTGCTTGACACTTCAGTACCTGTCTGAACTATTATCGCCCTACTCCCCACCTCGCAACCTTCGCTCTTCTAATTCTGGTCTCTTAACTGTCCCCAAAACCCATCTACATTGTATGGGTGACAGGGCCTTCTCCTGTTATGCCCCCAAGCTCTGGAACTCTCTCCCCAAGGACATCAGAGAGTCACCTTCTCTAAACTCCTTCAAATCCAGATTCAAAACCCTCTTCTTTAGAAAAGCCTTTACTTAACTGGTTCCATTCTTCATCCCTCTGCTTTTCTTAGTACCACCATCCACGGTCTCCTCTATATATTGTAATTGTGTTTTATCTTGTGTATTCTTTTTATTTATTGTTGTCATTCTGTAAAGCGCTTTAGGAAGCCACCCTTAAAAGGGCTATATAAAATAAAGTTTATTATTATAAATATATAGGAATCCTTAAAAACTGATAAATAAGGGACAACATTTTGAAAAACATGGATTTGGAAATGCTACAGAAAGTCATGAAGAGTTTCAAAAGCAGTGAAACTTTTTAATACTGTACCAGAAAGAAAGAACAGAAATTCAGTCATTTAAAACAATAAAAATGTTCTTAATTCTCTAAAATCAAATAGAATTGTAAAATAGAATTGTAAAAAGTATTGCTTGTATAATAACATAAGAAGAAAGTTAGGTCTTTTTACTATAGTTTAACCTGTGAACGTTTACTTGTAAGAGAGCACAGATGTCCCAACATTGGTCAATTTTGCAAGAGGGTTAATACCATACAGTAAGTAGCCTATTGCCGAGTCCAGAATAAGATTATAGTATTCAGTATTAGAGTATTAGTACCTTAAACAGCATGCATTTCCACAAAGAACTAGACTTTGTGACCCCCTAACTCACATGTACATGTTTGTATTCCTGTTTTTGTGTGGATGTTCTACTGACTATTTCTGCTTACTGTTCTATACTACACTGAAATAAAACACCACACAGGATGGAAACGTAATTTGGCATATTTTAGATTCAAAGGAAGGTGACATTTAGTTTTGCTTTATAAAAACTAATTATTTTAGGAAAGTGTCATCTCTTTCTCAGCAAACATCGTCTTAGTGAGAACACTGTCTCATAATTTGTCTCCACATATCACGATAGGAATACATACATACTTCTTCTCAGCGCTAACCTACAATTACTGTATATTTTTACTTTCTAATTTATGTCAAAGTTTTGAAATAATCTGGTCCAAAGGCAGAATTTCTCATTAATTACAGCAATAATAACTAAATCAACTTCACTATAGACATTTTCCATATAAATTAAGAAAATCAGATGTCTTAAATTTAAAGCATGCAACTATTCAGTATTAAATGCTAACAGTCAGCCAGGCACATTCGATATTTGATTCTAGACAATACTCATATTCATTGAAAACTATGGGTGTTGCTATTTCTGCCCGCACAGGAGGCAACTACATATCAGTATTCTTAACAAGAGGTGTATAAAAAAATCATAGAACTTTGTGTGCAAACATGACCTAATCCCAGCTGATCTTTGTGATCTCTGCACACTGGGAATATTCACGTTGATATAAAGTGTAATGCTAAAATTAGGCCTCTAGTTGAGGATGTTGGTCTTCTTTTCCCCCACTTTGTGAACTGCTTTGTGAATGATTATCGAATGAGAATGCCTTGACCTGAGACTGTTGTAGTTTAAATTAATTAAAATAACATAACAAGTGGAATAGTACTACAATTCTGTTACATCTGTATGAGTGCCGTGTTCATCTGTTGTTTAGCAAACACTTTGAAGTATGGAAGCCCATTTCCGCCATTTGAAGTGAGTCTATTCAAGGTAAGAATTCCTACGATACTACCAGATTATTTCTCAGATTTGGTCTAATTCAAAAGACTA